GGGGGAAATGGAGATAGGTTTTTTTTTTATGGATACCTGAGAAGTTGTATGTGTGCACTGTATCTTAAGGGTCTAAAAATTAGTAGAACAGCTGGCTTTGTTCATAAAATCCCTGCTAAAATTGAGAAAAGTGCAGTTGATCAAGCCATACTTGAGGTGTCTACAGAAATTGTTAGTGATCAATTTAATGAGTAATCAACTTTTACTGCTTTATATATTTTATAGGAATAAAGCATATATTACTCTAAATTCTACTAGTTTGCTTACAATAGGCACAAAGTACCAAACTTTAAAATATATCTTTCTTTTAAATTGGAGTTTGAAATGTGGGAAGATGCAAAAGTGTCTGAAAAAGCCATTTCTATGCCAGCTAGTTTTAACTGCTTGTTTTAGTGAAGAAAGAGCTATAGTCGGTGTCATCAGCCATCTACCTACCCTTTGTTTAAAACGGGAGACAGGGAAGAGGAACTTCATGCTAAGGCAGAAGAGTAGAAGAATTTCTGAATTTTCTGAATTTCTGAAACTTATTTTTCCATTATCAAAGTTTCTGTGCATTTTTTCCCATACAATTTTACTCTGCAAATATTACAAAATATATATCAAACTTTTCAATTTTAACATGAGTATGTTGTCTTGAAAATCAATTGATCCTCCAAAACACTTTAACGCTTAACGCTTATTTTAATCACAGTGCCACTATAGGTCCCTCAGTAGTCACAACAGGCATCATCAGTTGCATTTGATCTAACTGTAGAAAGTATAGGGTGTGCATACTTTGGATTTAACTGGAACAGCTATTGATACAGTCAGCTTTCCTTGGGCGGGGAAATCTCTGTATTTATCTAGATCTTGAGATTATGTCATGAAAGCATAATGATTGTAACTTCCTGGGTCTGCCTAGGGACCCTGAATATTGTGGCCCTAACTTTTAACCTATGCCCTTCTACAAAGCAAAACTAAAGATGAGGTGAGACTATAATGCTTCAGAAACAGAAGTTTGTCATTGTTTGATCATTGTTTCGAGCTGGATATCAGAGCTGTTGTCAAAGTTTTCCAGTTTGCTGTCTGCATTGGGAACTCACCAAAAAAGCCATAGTACAACAAATATAATCTAAATCTTCTCAGCATAAACTCCTATGATATTGAATGAATTAATCTAGGGCCACGGTTTCTTTCACAGGGAAGGTCCACAGTATGCTTTAACAGGAAGACTGTTGTTGTTAAGAAACATTCTGTATTCTAAAACAGCAAACTTTGAGCAGTCAAGGAAACATGAAGTCAACTGTATGTCATAGTAGGGAAAATTAAATTTCCAGAAAGCTTGGTATTGTTTCTTTGAAATATTTTAAAAATTGTCAAGGAGTTGGATCTTAACAATAGAAAACTTGCAGGAGTGAAATTAGTCTCGCTTGATTAAAAGGCATCTAAAAGAAAATTAGAATTCCTTTTTATTTTATGAGATTTTGAGTACTCAGCATTTGATCAGTCAGAAGACATGGAAAGGAAAAATTGCAAAGCTCTTAAACATCACAAAAATTATTAAAACAAATAGCAAAGGGTTAATAGGAAGAGCAACAGGGAAGGAGGCGAGGAGGTTTTTGAGAAGTGGAGATAGCATAGAGCTCACTATCCAAAAGCTAAATAACTACATTCTGTACATTTTTATTTCCACTGAGAAACTGCAATATTAAATGTTGGGGTAAGGAGCTGATGGGCTAGTATATCTAAATAAAAATAGTCCTACAAGAAGTAGGGGAAGAGGCAAGTGAGCTTAATGCTCTTGAACGTTTTTTTTTTCCGGTGTTACATTTAAGTTGCCTATGTTTATATCCAAAAATGTTTCTGATATTTAGTTACATTCGGAAACCTAATTGGCTGGGAGGTGAAAAGGAGAGTTTTATTCATTTTATGTATTTTGAGCAATATCAAGACAATAGGTGGAGCTAATTGGCAGTAACCTAGATTGCCCTCGCAGGTTGGAAAGAAACCAGTTATTAACATAATTAAAGGACACTAAGGAAGATCTTAGAGTCTTTCTGCCAAGGCATTTTTTTAACAATATGGTTGTTTTACTTGTTTGAAAATGTTGGCATTTTTCTGTCCCTACCTGACTTCTCTCGGGTCACCCAAAAGGCCGGCCATTTCAGACAGGGCTCAGAAATGCAGATAGTTCTTGTGAGGGGTTGTGCTCGGAAAGATCTTGCTGACTTTATTCCAGTGAAGGAGCTAGTGCAGTGCATTTTTTTTTTACCCAGTGTATATGGGGAGATAATTAATCAGCATTGTTTTTCCTTCTTGTGAATAAAGCTCAAAATATTTTATGCAATACATATTAATGAAAGGAAAATTTTTCAGGGTCTGTTTTTGAGTTTCTCAATTTGTCATGAATTAAGAATTTTTTTTCCACAGAGAATATTTTGGGGATTGTTTTTCATTCTTATATTTCGTTAGGAACGAGTATATGCTTAACAGAATTTCCAGAATGAACAAAGTTTTATACACACAGACTCTTAATTAGTGCATTTGCTAAAATAAAATGAATGTTATGAAAACTTCAGATTTTTTTTTCTGAATAACTTGCTAGTGCTTTCTTATGTCACCCAGAAGAATTTGTTTTGAAAAAGCTGATGTCCCCCCATAGAACTGCAGTGAGTGCAGACTCTTTTGCACTGTGATATTTTGTTTCACTTTTAAATATGGATAGTTATGTGTTTGAGTATCTCTAATCTACTGTAAATATAAATAGTGTATGGCTGAAATGCAGATCTGAGGATGATGCATGTATAAGTAGGTGTATCTACAGTGGGATTTTAAAATAAGCTACTGTTGACCTCCTTATACAAGTATAATACAGTCACTCAGCTGTTAAAAACCCGATCCACTATTTAAAAAATATACGAAAACAAATTGTCCATCTTTCTGCCTGATCTCTTTTCAAGTGCTAACACAATGAAAACAGTGGGTGATCTGTCAATGCATTTGGATTGTCAATGATGGTTTTGTATAAATATTGGGCAGATAAGAAATAAAATTCACACAGCAAAATATGATTTCATCTGCCTTTTCTCTGCAGCTCCATGGCTCATGCTGCGGTGTGAAATTCTCATTTTACACACTTTGCAGGCGGAGCACATGAATTATGCATTGAGCAAGAGAAATCTCCTGCTTCAAGTCCTATATGCATTTACCAGGTTCTATCTCTATTACCAAGATGAATTGCAAATGGAGAAATGTTTGATGGAATATAGCTTAACTTCTTTGTTTAGTGTTCAGCTTTTCTCTAGCTGGCTCTCAGTAGGAAGCTGTTTGGAACTTGTCGTCTTATTTTTAAGAAAGAAGGATGAAAAATAATGTTACAGAAAAATGGCAGACACATCAGAACCTTTTTATTTCCTTGATGTCAAATGCAATGCTTTTTGCATTCAGCAGAAATATGTACTGGTAATGTTGGCAGTCATTGGCTATTTATTAATCCTAGAAAGCCAATGAGTTTTCATTGGGAATACAACAAAGAAAAGAAATAATTCTGTATGTAATAGGAAAGACCAATTTAAATTGATTTCTTCTGTATTTTTTAAAGAAACACATGCATACTACTAGTGAATATACATCCATATGTGTGTCTGTAGAGATATGCATATAAATATAAAAATACTTGTGTGATTATAGGTATATGCGTGCATACTAACAGACACATAGCTCATAAGAGGCTGAGTGTTTGACATATTTGACTGAAGTAGAAAATAAGACTGGATCATACTTCAACATTAGCTTTATCTTGCTGTAGTTAGCTTCAGAGTCTGTGTTCTACATGGATGAAGTTGGTGGTTGCTATAATTATTTTTCTTTAATACAGCAAACTGATTGTACTGTGGGGGGGGTAAGAAAAAATAGTACAGGATAGCATTTATTGTCCTTTCTCAATGTTGAAACAAAATGGCTTTCGTTTTGAAGTGTAAAAAATATATTCCCTCTCAAAGAGGTTTTTTTCCATTTTTAAAGATGAAGTACATAGTAAAATATTATCAGTGCAGAAATGGGTTTTATTTTATTGAATTACTTACCAAGCTTTGCAATATGTACTCAGTAACTACCTTGGAATAGTAAAATGAATACTAGAAAGCCTCAACTGAAGTCTAACATTTCTAGCACCTGTTGCAGTGCAGAACGTCCTACTACAGAGGTTTCAGTGTATAGATAAATAAAAAGAAGATTTCATATGGAAAGCTTTATTTAAATGAAAATTGTCAAAAAAAAAAAAAAGTCTTGTGTGTGAGCAGCTCTGTTGAATTTCTGGGACTTTGGGGTATATCCAAAAATGAAAGAGATGTGCTTGGTTAGGAGTCTGCCTAAAAACTTTTGTCATCCAGCACACTCATTCTGACCCCTTAAGTGGGAACCCAAAACCAACAGGAGAGAAATGTCTTGGTCACCCTGCCTTCCTGCCCTGCCTCCATCCATCGTCACCCACTCGGTGCCGCAGCAGGGAGCAGCCCTTGGCTTTCTGGCCCCTTTCCCATGGGCAAGTCACTGCTCTGTCATTTACACTGTTTTGGTATTGCTGATTTTCTGTAGTTACTACATTGATGAGTTTCACAACCTGTGATCTCATGATAGGTGGTTGCTTCAAAGTAAGCAGGAGGAGTAAGCAGGAGGAGTAAGCAGGAGTAAGTTTGCTACACATAGTTTTGCTCCTAAATATGGCTTGTGAGGGCTTTTATTTTTCCCTTCCAAGCCTGGCAGTGCTGTTGATGGCAGAACTGAAGAAGAGTCCAACTTCTTTTCCTTGAGCTTTAGCCTGTCATGTGAATGAGCCACTTTTCATAGAATTTAATTGGCTGCATAATAAAAGGGAATTGGAGAAATCCCATCTCCACAGGGAGGATTAGCAAATGCAGAACCACCACTATAAATAACCTTTGAACTTCAATCATAGCTGAAGATAGAACTGAATCTTAGTGACAAGTGGAGGGAGAGCAAAGGCAGAAGTAGTTCTGCAGCTGATCCGCATGAAGAATACTTGAGAGGAGGTAG